ATAAAGACATAATCACTATTTTATATTCTAAAGGTCAATAGATTTGAAACTTCTATATCAATGTTATACATAATCGCCAAACATTGAAACCAATATATTATAATTTCAATTTTTGACAATGAAAGAACTTTATGTTGATTTTTGTTTAATTAACATCACATACAATTTTAAAAAAATAAGAAAAATATTATATTACAATAGGTATCGTATCTTCTTTTAATTAGTCTCTTCATTTTTGTCTCAACATATTAGTTTTAATTTCTTTTATCTCTTTATTTTAATCTATGTCATACGCAAAAGTCTCGTACGTATCAATAAATATAATCACTTGAATCATATTATGTATATCATTTCATTAATATGCATATGTATATACTATATAGTTAGTTTTATTTGCGCTTTACGTTTATATAGTCTAATACCTCTGTATCTTATAATATAACTCTCGGCTAAACAGGAGGATTTAATAACAACAGTTTTGCTGGTACCCTGCCTCTTGCTTGTACCGCTGTACTTCTACTTTTTTTCTGTACATTATTTTTGTTGGAACAATAAAGAATATATTATTAATTATTATTATATTGCACAATACCTAAAGAATCCAGTGGCAAAACAATCCCGTTGTCGCATTTGTTACACTTCAGCGAGGACATGTGAGTGCCCAGTTCCGTAGGATCTGAACATCGTGGGCACGCGCACGCGAAGTGCTTGCCCTCGAGTAGATGCTCTCTCCGTAGGATCGTCGGAAGTAACGAGTGCGTGTAACTCGCGTAAAGTTCACCGCCCGCAGGAATTTTAAGTGTAGTACGTAGCCGCATCCTGTAGATATAAGAATCGCGTGTATAATTGCTATTCGCATGTAATACGGGACTATCTTCATCAGCATAATAAACCGTGTGAGATTTCCTAAAGGATCTACATAGTGTGTAAATTAATTGAGGAAGAACTGTGCATGAGCATAATAAGTGAATTGTTTGAGTACCGCGCTTACATTTTTTGCTGATAGTAAATGTTTAGTGTCGAGTATATGTATTGCTACAAAGGATTGTATTTTTATTTCGTTAAATTTGTACGAAAAAAAAAATAGATAACGATTGATATACCTATAATCAATTGGAGATATGCAGTGAGATGTGTTCGAGACACATGAGTGATTCATCATAGCGACTGTTGGATAGAGACCACGTGCGCTGAATCCTTTCGCCGTCCGTATTTCGAACGTATTAATCTCCAAGATACCGCATACCGTTTGTATAAACTCGTCCGAGAATCTGCAAATATTTATTTCAAATACCAATGTTCCATTTCAAATAATACAGTTCCATATTAAAACGACAAATATTAAACGGCCCCTAGATGCACAACATTATTATACAATAATTTTGTACAAATTATTGATGCCCCTTTTAAACAGTTCAAAACAAACAGTTTGGAGGCTCAATAAGTCTCTAGACTAATATATATAATATTATATTATACAATACCGTGCAGTGATATTAATTGTTGCGTTTTGTTTTTCATTTCCATAGGTATAAGATTCAAATCGCCCGCGTACAGTTATCTAGCGTGTCGTTGAGTCGTGACCGGCACGACATCTGTTCTTTTTTACCGACGTGAGCGTGGCGTTGCTGGCAACAGCATTCATTTTTTTTTTTAGAAGGAGAGAGTCGAATTTGTGTAACAACAAGAAACAAGTTCTTAGCCCTTGCGGCATGATAAAATAAAGTTATTGTCATTAAGCATATAATTTGGTGTTACTATCTACACATACTTGAAAGAACTCGCGTCCACATACGCACGTGGCACAAGCCGCACATAGAGAAACATCTCTATACGAAACATTAATCGTCTAGAGGCTGCTTTAGTAAAATACCGTAACACATATTATACCTATCAAGTTTGAGCCGTTTTCTTAGATAATCTACGATATTGACTTGATCTGACTTCCACTGACTTTTTTGACATCTTATTTTATTATGCGCTTCCATACCCTTTACTTCCTTGTTCCACCTTTCGACGTTTCTCTCCGACTCCAATAATAGTCTCAACGGCGTTATGCATTCTAATTGCGGAACACCGTTTTCGCTGTTTTCATCCAGCGCGGCGTCTACGTTAAACTTCTCGTTCGCTTGTGCAAACACCTGCCGAAAAAAAATAGATCTTTAGATATGTAAAACTCATTATCAAGAAAGAACAAACATCCGCAGTTAATAAGGAAAGCTGTATCTATATACAGCTATGTATTTATATGATTTAAAGATTAGAATTAGAATATTGCAAAGCTTTCCACGGCTCTTCTTATTTACAAATATTTACGACCACAATTTTTCGCAGAATGTAAGGCAATTTAGAAAATAGCAATTCAAGTTTTATTTACCTGGCACTCGTAATCTTTATGTTGTGAAGTATTTTCGCATTCTTGGCCACATACGGGCCATCCGCACTTAGAACATAGCGGTTTGTCATCCGGTTCAGGGGGCCAAGGTGTAAAGCAGGAGAGACACAAGGGATACGTACATGCCTTCGGACCAACGATGAAGGGCATTTCTGTGACGATTTCTTCACCAGCACGTAGATCTCTACTCGCGACCATGTATCTGTCAAAAATGCAATTTTTTAAATAAACACTTTAATCAAACATACGTGATTAAAAGAATTAAAGTCCTATATACTGTATAATATAGAATTACAGAAGATTGCTGATATAATCGTTTTTTTTTGCCACATGCGTGTGTCAAAGCACATAATTTATTTTTTTCTAAGATTATAAATTTTTTTAATTCTACAACTTTGACAAATTTATTGTATTTTGTATCGTATTTGAGTGATTTTACAATGTTATATTACTGTGTGAATTTCGTGTATTCATCATTTCTCCGGTTCCTTTGACTATTTGTAAATGTTTAATTTAAATCGAACTACTAAATGAGCCTCTTATAGTTGCCAAGTGGCATAAGGCTTATATGCTTATAAGGCAGACTTATACCATTTGTCAACTAAGGGACTCAAATGTACCACGAGTTCGCTCATTAAGAGAATACTTTCTATCTAAAATTATTCGTAGAGATTTTCGATTCCATATTTTATCTCAGATTTAAATAATTTATCAGCTCTATCTCTTTATTTTTTCTTACCTGCCAACCTGTTCATTCTGTAATACTTTGTATTCCTGCAATGCGGATACGCCTGCACTTTGCTAAAACAATCAGAACGAAATCATCGTTAAAAATGAAATTATTTATATATAATATATAAAATAAATTTGTAACATCTATGCGTAAATTGCACAGACTGTTACAAATTTTTACATCATCTTTCGCGAAAAAATTGTAAATAAATAAAAATAAGATCATGGGAATAATTAAATAGGAGGATAATTTTTTTGGAATGAAACTCTGATTAACTCGATCAGCTCTTAATTAAGAGCTTAAACTAGTAGAATTTATTTACGGTATAAAATGTCTCTAGAATTTATCGTCCCTACAATCTTCTTTTCACATTCATAAAATATAAAATATTTACTTAGTATAAAAAAAAGTATCATTTAATAAGTTATATATAATCATCCATAAGTGCCATTTGGCGACGTACCGATTCTTGCGACATGTTCAGTTGAGAATCAAGCTAACGAGAAGCAATTAACTTTCCACGTTAATGAATCGTTGAATATACCGCATCGATTGAAGACCCGTGCTTGAACTGAGCCAGAAATCGTACTTGCAGGACGCTTTATATTCTCGGCTTATTAAAAATATCGCACGTAAGCTTTGCCAATGGTACAGTTTAGTTTCTACTAGACGAGTAGTATTTGTATGTATACTGCTTTCGAACACGACGCGTTGCAATCAGAAACATCATCACGACCACGCAGTCGGTGTGTATTTTTGGGACTCCAAACGTACAGAAGCATCCAAAAGCTGATCGTTTTCTACACATTCATCCTGATTGCATATTGCGAATACCGGATCTTCTTGGTGTTGTTTATTATTATAATTTCTCCGTTATCACTTCCCTCTGGTATAAAAATTGATAGAGAATGATAAAAAAAATTCAATTTGTGAATTTATACTAATTTGAGTCAGATCTTACAGGAACTTTGTACAAATCTTAAAAAACCCGATAAAATACGATAGGATTTATATCCGATCAATTGTTATACTCGCGAGATCGACACGATAGGAAATTATATAAACTTATAAAAAACACACGATACAAATTGATAAAAATTCTGTTGTTAACTTTTCGTTAACTTTTATTACCAGGATTTACAACGGGGTGTCAAGCAATTTCAAAAATTGCAATATTTATGTATTCTATCATAAAACATAATATAAATATGTTAAATATAAATAAGTTGTTGAAATATAAAGTTCATTTATAAAACATTGTATATACACTAAAAGTTTGACAAAAAATCGAAAGGGATTTTTGTCATTAAAAACTCTAGTTATTTTCGCGTTTATAATTTTATTTTATAAAATTGATGTATCTTTTTTGAACAATATTTTAATTGATAATACCTTTTCACGTTTAATTGTCCGCAGTAAATTCGAGCAAATGTCTAGATAGATTAAGTTTCATGTGATCGAATAACATGGGAATTTTTCTACAAACAATTCTGCCTACATAAAATTATTCTGAATTTGATCGAGTCACCCAGTAGACGTTCGATCTATCGGACCTGACTTGACTATATCAAAATGTACTCTTTATGTTAATTTCATATAATGTAATAAATTCCTGCGTCAAAATTAAAAGAATTACAAAAATATTTTTTAATTTCCCCTCGATGATTAGAAACGTTCCAGTCCGATCGCAAAATTTCTATCCAAACGGCGATATGCGGAACGCTGCGGAACGCCACCGTACCGCCTCGGTCACGCAGAAATAGGCCGGGCGCTTTTTCTCACACAACGTCGATACGCATGCGCACCGTCCGTGGGTCGCGGACTCTTTCTCTCCCTTCCTTGCTCTCTCTCTCTCTCTCTCTCTATCTCGTCTCCTGCAACTACTCGCAACGTTGCACGACGTATCTGTGAAAGAGTTGCGTTTTTCGTGTCTATCAAGGCTGTAAGTATATCATCGCCACAAAATTTAGTCTCGACAATGGAAAATCCATTGCCGGGAGCTTCGAGATTCGCGAAACAGTCTGAATAAGGTGTTAAACGTAAGAGGGAAGCTAGTCGGGAAACAGGTTCTCTCGGTCTTATTTCGAGAAACCGGCATGGAATCGCGATTACAATGTCGTCTGCCGTGGCTCGTGCGACGCATTTTCCGCTAAATATTAAGCGGGATTGGATTTTTCGAGAGGACTCGCGTTATCAGACAAGTGGAGGCTGATTTGTTGACGTGCGGCGACGTATAGAGCGATTTCTAAGTTATAATCTTGAACGATCGCGACATATCGGTTGATCGAGCTTATGTAATACTTGCGAGACAGGTCAATACTATTCCGTTCATACGTGCATTGCGGCTCATACCTCGTGATACCGTATCAATGTGGACTTGTTTGCGTGATACTCTTAATGACAATGACTTTCAGTTCTTTTTATGATTTAGAAAGAGCCTCCCTTTTCTTTATAGGTCTGTGGACGTAGCATATTTTAATCCTCCCATGTGTAAATGTTTTGCTTCATTTCTTGAATGAAATAATGTACATGTATAATGTAACCATATAGAACAGAGTACACTGTCTTTGCATATGTATCGCTGATTAAATTTAGTTTGTTGTTTTATTATGGTTGTCTATATTGAGTTCTCTGTCCTTTTTCAATCAGTTCTATTTAATAGTAGAGACAATAGCCAGTCATTAAACAGATATTTTTATGACATTGCAGAACATGGCTCCTCCGACGTACAACGACCTAGGAAAGAGTGCCCGTGATGTATTTGGTCAAGGCTACCACTTTGGTCTGTTTAAACTAGATGTGAAGACCAAGACTAATTCTGACGTAGAGTTCTGTTGTGGCGGTGTGTCCAATCAGGATACTGGAAAGGTGTTCGGTAACTTGGAAACTAAGTACAAGTTCAAGGAATATGGATTGACGTTTAGTGAAAAGTGGAATACTGACAATACCCTTGGGACCGAAGTAACCCTTGCCAACAAGTTGCTCAATGGTCTCACGGTTGGCTACAGCTGTACTTTCTCCCCACAAACTGGGTAAGATATTTTGCAAGTATCAATAATGTAAGTACTACTACTAATATTTGGATCTTTCATTTTTTTTTTTTTTAATATTTATAGTTCCAAAACTGGAAAATTGAAGACAACTTACAAACATGAGAATGTATCTGCGACTGCTGACTTTGATCTTAGTTTATCTGCTGGACCTTTAATTTATGCCTCGGCCGTTGTGGGTTATCAAGGTAAATTTTAATATCTGATACGTCACTTAATAATATTAAAGCTTGACAATGTTAATCAGTCTTATCTCTTTGACACAAAATTATATTAGAAAAAAACTTTGATTTAGATCTTTAATCGTCTATGTATCTGTTCCTTTGTCCCAAATACATATTTCCTTATTGTGAACAAATGGAATGTTTTTTGAATAAAAAAGTAAGCTTATAATTTTATGAATGTTAATTGTTATCTGAAAATGTTTATCAACATAATGGCTGTATTTTGCAGGATGGTTAGGTGGCTATCAAGCATCCTTTGACTCGCAAAGAAACAAACTCACAAGGAATAATTTTGCTCTTGGATTTACTGCTTCTGATTTTACCCTTCATAGCGCCGTGTATGTGTATAATAATAACGATGTGATACTGTAAGACATTTATCAATTTTATTTACATTTAAATATAATTCTTAATATATTTCAGGGATAATGGCCGTGAGTTTAGTAGCTCCATTTATCATAAAATAAAACCAGATTTGGAAGGAGCAATTAATTTGGCATACAATTCCACTAATAACGTAACGCAATTTGGTATTGGCGCAAAATATAATCTTGACAATGATGCTAGCCTTAGAGCCAAAGTGAATTCTAATCTTCAAATAGGTTTGGGATACCAACAGAAATTACGGAATGGTGAGTAATTATTTCTTCTCCTTATTCTTAGATTAATGTAAGCTCTGTATCAATACATATCTCATATGCTTGTGATGTGCGCGCTGCTTATTCAATTGTCACAAGTACATAGGATCTACAGTTTTTTAATGTCGGTTTCGAACGGCGGATTTTTTGAGTTGTTTCTATGGGCAAGATTTTGCTGGACAAGAATACTAAAATCTTTACAAGTGCAAAATGTAACATGAATCCATTATAAATAATTTTATTTATAAATTCGGAAATTTTTAACATGTCACAGTACATAAGTATTAGGAAAAATACATGTTTTTTATTCGCGATACTAGCAAAACGCTATTAATAACTTGTGCTCTGAGAGTCACACTAAATAGAAAATAAACTTTTGGCAGAGTGACAACTTTACAATGGCTATAATAATAATTTTTGCAATCTACAGTTATAAAGTTAAATAAGGACTCTTGACAATTATTAAATTTATTAAGTTATAATAAATCTTTCTACAAAAGCATATCATTATTCATATATTAATAAATGTCACTAAATAATTGAATATTTACAGGTGTAACTTTGACGCTTTCTACAAATATTGATGGGAAAAACTTTGGTTCTGGTGGTCACAAATATGGTGTTGCATTAGATCTTCAGGCTTAAATACGTATCTTATAAAGTAATGCTTATTACTTAATAAAAAAAAAGCGAAAATTTTATCTTATAATAAATATTTTGTGACCTTCGTGTCATAAAAAACCGACGTGACAGTACATGCTTCAAATAAAGTATTATCTGTAATATGTAGATAGGTTGATCCTTGAATAGATTCCACAAAATATCATCATTTGTGATTAGTTGACAAGCACGTTAATCTATATTATACACAATTATGATCATAAGTCAGCAACATTTCTTGTAAACGATATGAAATCGCAATTATGTATACAAGTTTGTACTGTTAGTCGTACTGGAGTTCCACGCAATTTTTTTGTTCCTGTTATGTAATTGAAAGCCTTTTTATCAAAATCGAAGTACATTATTACATTGAAGTACATTATTCTATAATCTATATAATGTAAAGCGGAGAGAGAGAAAGAGAAAGAAAAAGAAAGAGAAAAAAGCAATAGTAAAAGCGACGTTAATAAAAACATAATAATAGATAAAAAGAAGATATTTACGATATGAATAATTTTCTTTGCTTGCTACACACAGTAAATATCTATATTCTTAAGAATATTTTCATATTGTACTTTATATTCGCGCGACTATCATATTTATATATAAAAAATATAATTTTCAAATAGTGTAAAATATTTTTGATTCGTTATATTATTTTAATCAGGATATCTAATTTTGTAAATCATTAATCTTATCTCTTGCTGGATAGGACCAGATTAGAATGTATGACATGCATATTTTATGCAATCAAATATTAGTAATAATGTGATTGATAGTAAATGTATGCAATGTTTTTGTTTGATATTGTCATACTAATACAAAAATATGATGCCTTCTCTAATTCATATAAATGCAATTATGCATTAATTGTATAGATTACAATTAAAAAATGTTCATGTCATTCTCTTGTTGTAAGGAATATCTAATCCTTGTAAGTACTGCCAGTTTGGCTAAATTATGATGGTCTCAGATATTAACGAAGATATACTCCTTTACAGAATTTTCATTTGTAGTCACGTACACATACAAATGATAATGATCATGTTTTCAAAAGACATAAGTACTGCATATATGTACTGCATATAATTCCATTACTTTATTTTATATAGAAAATAATTGTTTGTGAGATAAAAGTGGCTTTTATTCTCTTTGACAATTATTATCAATTATGTATGGGTTCACACAGTAAAGAATGTTTTACGAAGTACGAATGTGATTTATTTACAAGAAGAACTTACATTGTTTTTTCTCATCTACATTGATTTTTATCTAAAAATCAACTGCAAAGAAACAATCCTTTTAACATTTTCTTTGAGTAAATCTGTATTCACTTGTGTATTGTGTGATGAAATTATATTAATTTTTTAGAGTTATATTTTTTTAGTTACAAAAAAATGATAAAACTACAGGAGCATTAAGGATGATGTGCCTCGAATATACATTTAACATATTTCAAATCTGTTGATACTATAAACAATTTGGATATATTTTTGGGACGAAGGATTTTATGTAAAAAATAAATTTAATGAATGATGTGCCTCGAATGATATTAGTGTTTCAACAATGAGCTATATAAATATTTACTATTTTGGCTGGCTGTGTATCGTGTATATTGTAAATGATTCCCGTATTTTCATTTGACATTTCTGTGTTAAACAAAATCTATATTAATGCACCATCTGATCGTCCATTGCTTTTGCGATCCATTCAGGCTCTGTTTGAGCTATTTTCTCGATTATTTGATTTACTTGATAACATAGCGATTGTATTTGTTTGTCCCATGTCGGTAAGGTCTCACGTGCTGTATGAGGAAAAAAAGACATTAAGGCCTGGTTGCACTAACATTACTTGATTTTAAGCAAGACTTAAAACTCTTATCTATCTTGTATTAAAGCCGAAAGAGAGACAAAGACAGTTTAAGTCTCGCTTCAAATTGAAATCACGTTGGTGCAATCGGGCCTAAGTTGTATATAAAGAGCAACACATTAAAATTTAAAAACTTAAAGCAACTTACTTTCGAAGTGTACTATGGAATCAATTTGATCTATATATCCATTCATTCTGCCTTCAGTAATCATTTGGCTAGCAATTTTTTCTGCTTTAGTAGGTGGAATATCCAATAACGCGCCTAATTCTTCGAACGAAATGTTATTGTATAATTTACTAGCGGACAATAAATTATGTTCAATAACGGCACGGTCGAGAATAGTGGAGCCTAATCCGTCGATAGTACATGCCTTCTGGTGAGGTTGCAATAATGCTTCAAATTCCTGCAGTTCAGAGCGCCGAATGATACGATCCAAATACATTTTCTCAAGAATCGAGTAAGCAGGGAGTTGCTGGCAACGTTCATCTTTGAACAATGTGGCCAACATCCGACTTCTCTGTTGTCCTATAAGAAGACCAATGTGAGCAATGATCCGAGAAATAAAACGTGTGCAATGTTGATTAATCGCTTGCCTGCAGAAGCCAATACTGTGCAAATTAATGCATTTCTAAGAGCAGTCATGCGTTCATCTTCGTGAATGATGGACCTATATGATAATTCATTGTACCTCTGAGCTGCTTCTATAAACTTTCTTCTATAATCTAGTACTCTTGCATAGCATACTTTATAATAGATTTGTAACTGTTCGTTTTTAGACTCGGCCTATGGAATGATAAAAAAAAAAGGTTAAATAACTAAAACATAAAAAAGTAAATTTAAAGAAACTACCTGTAAAAGTGATGCTCGATTGATGAACGCTTCAGCCTGTACTGGGTCATCATCTTCCAAATATAATCTAGCGATTTTAAGGTATGTCTCGAGTTTGTAATCAATAGTATACTGCCTAAAATGATTAATTTTGTTAATATCACATGTTCAAACAAGACTTGATTGTGATATATGTATATGTTACTTTTGCCCTGTTTCCAGTGGTATGCCAACTAAAACATTTGCAGCTTCTCGCCAATTCTGATTACGTTCATAAATATCAGCTAAATGTTGTCTTATACTAGCTACTTGTTCTTCAAAGGAAATTACACGTGGTTGAACCTACATAAATAACATGTTATTTTAATCAAAATACACTTCAATATTTAAATAACATTTATTTTTACTTTACAATTAAAGAAAGAGATTTACCTTGTCCAATGTATAATGTGAAACAGCTTTTGATATCTCATCAGGCAAAAACAGTAAACGGCTACTGACATCAGTCAACACTTGTCTTGAAATGACCAGACTCACGTTTTCGTTTACAACTATAATAAAAATTTATCTAAATGGATTGTTTCTCTAAATGTGGAATATATACACTGACAAAATATGATATATCAATTATATGCTTCATGACACTAAACTATGATTGGTATTCTAATTGTCTCATGTGTATTAAAAAGTGATTACATTATATGAATATTTTAATATTATATCACTTTAAGATAAAACAATATATTGTTATTATAGATACATTTGCAATCATAATATTCTCTTATACATTTATTTTTTAAACTCCAGTCTAAACTAAATTTTATCGAATGTTTACTATAAATTTTAACAAAAAGGTATCAAAATTTATACAAATTTTATTCGATGTCAGCGAGCAAATTGACGATAGATATTTAATAAAGGATGCTTTCTCTTTGGTGATACAAATCGACACATCATCATTCTAGCCAAAGGTTATATATGATGTTCAAAAAACTTGTGTGTATAATATAAATCCAAAATGTTACTGTGCTTATTGCTTAAGTTTTTTATATGCCACAGTCTTTAGGAATCTATGAATAACAAAGAATAACAAAGAATAAAAACACTGCTAAGAAATTATTCACAAAAACCATACAAAGCCCACTAATAACATAACAGTAAATTGATGATAAGAATTGCCTTTGTTTAGTTTTTGTCAATAATTTACTCTCATATTACATCTGCAAGTTTCGTCGACAAGCTTAATATGGACACAGTTATATGCCAATTTACTGAAATTTTTGGTCAAATTTGCCATCAATTTGTGGCAAATTGTTGATATTTTACTGACTGAGTACTATTCTAGAGGCTCTGCAATCCTCCTATAACCTATCTACGGCGTGTTAAATCCCGCAGACATTTCGGAGTAGATACCATTTGACGTTTCTTTTGTGTTCGCGAGTGCAAAGTGCCAGACGGATAAAAATAACGTACTTGCTTCGATGAATGTCTTCAGAGCATCGACTAGCTCCTCGCCGGAAGACAACAATATCGAGTCCAGGGTTGCGCGGTATCTAAACAAAAAACAGTACGCCGTGAGTATACAGTTGGATCGGAGCTTGGTTACACTCGACGCACATACTTCTCGGCCTGGTCTTTGTGGGAACCGCCGGAATGCGCCAAATTACTGAGTTGTTGACGCACGTAAGCCACCGTCACTACCATCTTCTCTCGCGATAATTTCACTTGCCACTGCTGCTGCTGCTGACTTCTTGTGCAGAGAAAGGCCCAGAGCGATGCTCGCGAAATGCGGACATGCTCACGTTTCAGCCATTCGTTTATCAGCGCCACAATGTCTGAAGGTACTACTTAGCCAACGATATTTTTGAGGGATAAACGTGCGTTAGATGCTTTTGGGGTTCCGTTCTATACTACGTTCATAAAGTGTAATATACGGATTTTTGTAGCTGGCTCTCATTGTATATTTCTGAACAAATAAGCGTCAAGTATAAATTATATATATATTTATAATTAAGTAATCACATGGAAAGAATTTATCAACAAAATACATATAATCCCATAAAAACTGTAAGGGGGACCACCCTTTTACCGACTCCCGTCCGTCTTAGTTCCATTAAGAGCCTCCTGAGGCGCTGTCGCGATGCGACGCTCCCGCTGGTACGTCACTGCCAGAGTGGGAAGATCACGCCATTGGCAATCATTGGCCGCTTGACTTATTTGAATTTCGAATTAAGAAAGAGCGTCTTAGTTTTATACGAGAACCGTCCTGACGGATGGTCAACATTTTGTGTGGAAGCAATAAACCTGAATCTAATCGTACAAAAGTCCACTTACTGTGTGTGCCATCCTTTACAGAAACATTATAGTCGATTTGTGTCTGCATTATAAAGTTATTCTCGATTGAAAATGTCAGATTACGAGCCAAATTCTCATCATTTGCGGAGCGTTTTAATTCACTACTTCATTACGAAGAAATCAGCGGCTGAGGCTCATCAAATACTCTCAGATATTTATGGTGAGGCCGTTATTAGTGAAAGAACGTGCCACGAGTGGTTTCAACGCTTCAAGAACGGTGATTTTAACATCGAAGACGAGCACAGCGGTGAAAGAGAGAAGGTTTTTGAAGATGCAGAATTGGAGGCACTACTTGATCAAGACTCGTGTCAAAG